CATACACACACACATACACATACACACACACACAAACACACACACACACACACACACACACACACACACACACACCACACACACACACACACACACACACACACACACACACACACACAACACACACAACAACAGCACAACAACAGTACCGCCACAACAACAACAATAACAATGACAATAACAACCACCAAACAACAGTATCAACAAAAACAACAATAATAATGACATAACAACATCATAAACAGTTCTAAAACGAGGGTCTAAAATGAATGAATGACCAAGGTAGCCACCGAAGCGCTTCGGAACCCAACGAAGTCAGAATCCCAAAAAAGAAACAAGTATCAATCGGCCACTATAGTTTTGCTTCATCGAGGGCGAGTTTCAACGAAGACGTGAGTCACGTGACCAGTTCTAACGGGTGCACAGCATTTTGATCCTTATAGTGAGGATGTAGATAGTCGTTTTTTCCCGCCGGGTTTCGTTCGGCGCGGCGCCATGTTTTATCGGGAGGAGAAAAGTGGTGTAATTTCGTTAATATTTTTGTTGTCGTTGTTGGTTTGTTAGTATGAACTATTTAATTATTTTGATTTATATTTGTTGTTATTTATCATCGTTGTTGTGACTGTGTCTGTCTTTCTGTGTGTCTAAAGGGGGGTTATTTTCGTAAATGTGTCTGTTTATAATTTTTTTTATCAGTCGCTTTAGAAAAAAATAGATACGATACAAGAGAGAATCTTTCATTAGTTTGATAAGGAAAGATATGACTTAGGTTAGTTACGGCATATTAATTTTGCATTATTTTTCCACGTGATATTCTCTCTCTCTCTCTCTCTCTCTCTCTCTCTCTCTCTCTCTCTCTCTCTCTCTCTCTCTCTCTCTCTCCCTCTCCTCTCCTCTCTCTCTCTCTCTCTCTCTCTCTCTCTCTCCCTCTCTCTCCTCTCTCCTCTCTCTCCTCTCCCTCTCTCTCTTCTCTCTCTCTCTCTCTCTCTCTCTCTCTCCTCTCTCTTCTCTCTCTCTCTCTCTCTCTCTCTCTCTCTCTCTCGCTTACACAACACACACACACACACACACACACACACACACACACACACACACACACACACACACACACACACACACACACATACACACTTACGTCAAAGAGAAATAGTCAGAAATACCAAAGGTCTTGTCTGTTATGATAACAAGTCTTCTCCCTGTCTGTCTCTATGCACCAGCTGATATCGCGTTTATTTATCATTCTCTCTCTCTCTCTCTCTCTCTCTCTCTCTCTCTCTCTCTCTCTCTCTCTCTCTCTCTCTCTCTCTCTCTCTCTCTCTCTCTCTCTCTCTCACTCACTCTCTTTCACACACACACAGACACACACACACACACACACACACACACACACACACACACACACACACACACACACACACACACACAAATCCCCCCCCTCTCTCTCTCTCTCTCTCTCTCTCTCTCTCTCTCTCTCTCTCTCTCTCTCTCTCTCTCTCTCTCTCTCTCTCTCTCTCTCTCTCTCTCTCTCTCTCTCTCTCTCTCTCCGTATTGTGAGAATTTCAAGTTCATCGGCCTGGGAGACAGGAAGAAACGGGTTTTGTGGATAATGTTTATAGATGCAAACACTCTTAGTTCAGTAATAACATTCATCCGCTACAGTAATACACTTTTTCCTAACCATTGCCCTCAATATTTCCTTCTGTTCTCTCTGTCCACTTACTTTGGTTATAATATTTCATGGACGGATTCTCGAGTTATATTTCATTTCGAGGAGGCCAGTTGGAACGAAGTAGGACGGTGCTTTCCCTCTTATTTACACTTTTTTCTAATTTTTATTGCTATATTACGCGATCCCTTTCACTGTCTACGAACGCGATGTCGTGTGAATTTTCATTTTCTTTAAGTCTCGTTCTATTTTTCTTTCTTGTGACCTATATCTCTCAGACATTTTTTCCCTGGGGAGTAAAAATAATCTGCGAGAGGAAAGGCGATAAATAACAGAGCGATCGTCCTTTCAGCGGCGAAGAAAAAGAATATTTTCAAATATGTGTGTGGGCATGGGGGCGCCTTTGACAATGGCGGTGTCTGGAAACCCCGCTAGAGGAAGTGATGTTGACTGAAACGGCGCCGATCTTTCTCATCTTTGTGTCTTCGGGAGAGAGACACACATTCACAACACGACGATCCCGGCCGGAATACCCGCAGGAGCTTCGATTAGCAAGTAATTATGCAAGATAGAGAAGATGGCATGAAAGCTCTCCTCCGCTTCTCGCATCTGTTGCTGGCCGGCGGACGGTGCCAGATACCCTTTTTCCAGAACGCTTTTCAACCCCGCTCATGCACACCCCAAACTTCAGCTTGAGAATATATAATAAAGAAGTGAGACAAGGCGAAAGGAAGGGCGAAATACGTTCCAAACAGAGGAAATAAGGCGAGGTTCGAGACGACGTTTTTTGACAACCTGGCAACATGAGGATCAGGTGAAGGACTAGCCTCGTCT